GCAAAAACATAAAAACCAATCATTAGTGCTTGCCCTGGGGGTGTAGTGGTTAAGAGCTATGGCTGCTAACCAAAAGATGGCAGTTGAAATTCACCAGCTGCTCCTTGGAAACCCTATGGGGCAGTTCTTCTCTGTCCTATAGGGTCGCTATGAGTTGGAATCAACTCCATGGCAAGAGGTTTGGTTTCAGGTTTGGACCAGGGTGTGGGAGGAAGGGAGTAAGCGGGAGTTTTTCCATTGGAGACATTGAATTTATGTTAACAGGGGTGGAATACTTTGGATAACAGTTGATAATAAAGAATGTAATCAACGTCATGGAATTATACATATAGAAATTGTCAAATTTGTGAATGTTTTGTTATGCAGTGAAGAAACATAGGGTTTACAGTACAAGTCAAAGTATAGATAATTTCTTAAGCTTCACATCCATTCCCTCTGCCTTTCCTCAAGGCCTCTCCTGTTCCTGCAAGCTTCCACATGCCAAGGCTGAAACGAAGACCTGGCAAACTTCTGGAAGAGCTTTAGACCATTGGATGATGTTATAGATTGAATTGTGTCCTCCCAAAATGTATGTTGAAGTCCTAACCCCTGTACCTGTAAATATGATCCTATTTGGAAATAGGGGTTTTCTTTCGTTATGTTAACGAGGTCATATCAGAGTAGCCCACTGCCGTCGAGTCGATTCCGACGCATAGTGACCCTATAAGACAGAGTAGAACTGCCCCGCAGAGTTTCCAAGGCTGTAAATCTTTATGGAAACAGACTACCACATCTTTCTTCCACAGAACAGCTGGTGGGTTGGAGTTGCCGACCTTTTGGTTTGCAGCCGAGCACTTTAACCACTGTGCCACCAGGGCTCCTGCTGGAGTCGGGTGGGTCCAAAATCTAATCACTTCTAAGTGCTGTCTTATAATAAGAGCAGACTAGACAAGCAGGTATGCACAGGTGTAAGACAGACACCAAGGAGCTCCTGGGGCTGCCGACAAAGCAGGGCCTCCCCAGAGCCAGTGCCCTGATTTGGACTTCTAGTCTCCAAAACGGTGAGACAAAAGCTTCTGTTCTTTAAAGCCACCCATTTGTGGTACTTTATTTATTTATTTTTTGTCATGGCTACACTAGATAACTAAGCTGTCCTTTCCTGTCTTCAGCAACCCATCTGAAGTTAGGAATTTAATCATAAAGGTATTTATTCAAAAGCAACTTGAAAGAAATAGGACTGAAAACGAAATCCCCTGAAGGATGGGATTATGAAGGAGGGAAGAGCTGTTTCTCAGGGAGCATTTCCACAAGAGCCGTGTCCCCGTCTTCTTGGGACTCACGTGTTGCAGCACTGAATTCCATTTGTGCTGCAGGAACACTCCTCACACTTCTCAGTCTTCCACCTCGAGTTTAGCGGGTGAGTAACTCCACTGCCATCCTTGCATTCTAAAACAACGCAGATGGCATCTTCAGTAAAGCCCCCAAATCCAGCAACAGGAACAAGGTTTGTCAGGTCGTTGAGGCGATCCCCTGCTACCTGCTCCCCTCCCACTGAGGGAGAATCTCTTGGATTTTAAAGGCTGTTTAAGAAAGGCGCTTCTGTGCTTACCCATACTCCAGTACTGTCCAGTTCATGCAGGTGATAGTTTTTTCTTACAGCAAGGTTAAATTCTTCAAGATTTTATTTCAGAACAGACATGTATGAGTTGGGATTGACTCAATGGCATACAACAACAATAGCAACAATGTAAGCCCTCCTC